CATACTTTTCCATCAGATCCGAGAATATAGTTCAAATATTCTGGGATTTGCATCAAGTTCTAGATCTAGAGACATTATCATTAATTAGGTTTAACCCTTCGTTACATAAGACTTAATAGTTTAATCGAAAGTATATACTCCCTCTGTTCCAGTTTATGTGAACCTATTTCCTTTTTGGACCGTTCCAAAAAGAATGACCTCTTTCTAAATTTGGTAACAATTTAGCTTAACTTACAATTTTACTCTTAATGAGAAATTTTTATAACCACACAAATACTCTGGGCCCCTTTTTGACATGTTTAGGACCACAAATTTCAAAAGTCTTCATTTTTTCTTAAACTTCGTGCCCAGTCAATTAGGTTCACATAAATTGAAACGAAGGGAATATTACTTTTTTGTCTTTTTGGTCAAACAGTCACGTCGTTGGATACATAGAGGGCCATTGTTACAACAAAGAGGATACACACACGTTGACTAGTGACACAGCTGCCATGATATGTAAGGACTAGGTAGTCGGTAAACATATCCAATCTTGAAGAATTAAAATAATATATACTAACAGTGCAAAAAATTATCTTTTTACTTGATTGATGTAGTTTGATGTGTTAATTGTAACGTAACACTATTGGTAGTAAAATGGATAAAAAAAGATAATTATTTACTCATATTTTTTATTAAAAAATGGATTGGATAATGAACTTATAGAAATGAATCACCACTTAAAAATGAATACTTAATGGATAACCAATAGGTTTAACTTTGTATTTGCAAAGAGTCAAATTGGGATTTCCTCAAATTTGGAAGACTAAAAATTCTTCCAAAATTGATCACATTCAAGAAGCCATGGATAATAGGTATCCATATTATCCATCATTTGACTGATTTTCTATCCGTATTAAATATGGGAAGGTCAGATATTTTATCCGTTTTTGCGTTATACGTTTTCGGCCCACCCATATTTGATTTGATCCGCACCCATTTGTCATCCCTACGTACCACTATCATTTTTATCGTGTCATCAAATTCATTTGTATCATAAAAATTTAATAATAATTATCTTATAAGTGACCTGATTGTGTCACATTTTTTTTTTTTACAGACATTAAACTTTGGCACAACCATAAAAGATTAGAGGTGTATTGTCATTCCCAAAATGTAAAACAAGTCTATAAATATCTTTTGTTAATGACTATTATCAAGCATGTCTTCATGCAGAAAGAGCATATTTAATTTTCTATTTGGCCAAATATAGACCAGGTCAACGCAAGTTCTTCGGCTATATATGTTTATACGAGGCAAAGGTCAAGTGGCCAAAAACACCAAAACAAAAAAAATTCTTCCTTTTTTATCGACCGTCCTCAAGTTTGTTTTGGTGGAATTTACCTCTAATAATATGACTTTCAAATCTTCACCGAACAAATGAATTTGGTTTGTTATTGTCTCTTAATGAAGGCTTTTCTCTTGTCACCCTCTCTTCTTCTTCTTCTTTTTCCTTTACCAATTCATCACCCCTTTGGACATGGCCATAAACCTATCATTGTAATTGCAAATATTATAAGGATTGAAGAGAGAAGGGTTAGAAAAGAGAAATTCAAAGCTAGTTTAGATTACATTTTGAAGAAATAGAGGAAAGGAAATTATTTAACTGGCGAAAAGATGAATGACTTGTTTTCTCCTTCGTTAAAAAAATATCAGGACCTGAAACAACAGGTCCAGATGGATGATCTGGAAGCCGGGGCCGGAGGAGGGTCCGGCCTCGACCCTTCCCAGAATGAAAGCATTGATCTTGCTAAATTCTTTGAAGATGTAGAGAATGTGAAAGAAGATATGAAGGATGTTGAGAAGCTTTATAAAAGATTACAAGAATCAAATGAAGAGAGCAAAACCGTGCATAGTGCTAAAACTGTGAAGGAAATTAGGTCTCGAATGGATAATGAAGTGACACAGGTATTGAAACGAGTTAAGATCATCAAAGGAAAGCTTGAAGCTTTGGAAAGATCCAATGCAGCTCATAGGAAAATTCCAGGTTGTGGTCCAGGATCCTCTGCTGATCGAACGAGGACTTCTGTAGTTAGCGGTTTAGGGAAGAAATTAAAAGTTCTCATGGATGATTTTCAAGCATTGAGAGCAAGAATGAATTCAGAATACAAGGAGACGGTGGCAAGAAGGTACTGTTAAATTGTGCAACAATCTTATCTAAAAGTTTGAACTATTCGAGAGAGCAAACTCTAGGTCCTTTATAACTCTAATATAAATAACAAGGATATGGGCGTAACAAGCATGAAAACAAATGCGTTAAGGCGCAATGGCTTTTGCACAACAGCTACACCCTTACTTCATGCCTTATTTGCCACTGAGAAACTAATCTAAACAGAAACCCGTACATGCTTTATATCAAAGTCAACTTTTTCCCCTTTAGTTTAGAATGAAGGACCTTGCAACCTAAGTTGATCGGATTCTTTACTTTCGATATTGCACACATGTCGATACGACATGAGTGTGAGTAGGGGTAAGGGATCCGTATCGTCTGCTCAATCGATTTTGGGCACTTTCACCAAAATCAACGGAGAAATTCGGGACAAATACAATAATTTTTTAAATCAAAACAAAAGCTGGGTGAAACTGCAGGAAATGGAATACTTTGTATATAGAAATTTCTATGCTAGTCTTTTTCCTTTTATCTCGTTCTTGGATTCTCATCTTGATTAATATCTCTTTCTCGGAATACCTTGTAAGTGATCATATAATGTCTCATAATTTAGATATTTTTTTATAACTCTATTTTTAGATGTTTGAATATTTTTTTAGCCGGAACCCCACACCAATATCTGTACCCTCGAATCTTAACATTTAGATCATGAAGGATGTGACCACTAATCCCCACCAGTATCGGACATCCGCACCTGAGTCTGAGCAACTTAGCCTGCTACCTTGCCAACTTGCTTCACCCTATCTTTCTATTTTCTCAAATGGACATTTAGGAATCCCTTGTTCAAAGATCCTAACCTAGATCAATATCCATTCTCAATAGAACTATTTGTTTACTTATTTATGTCTTCAATAGGTACTTCACCGTGACAGGAGAGAAAGCAGACGATGATCTGATAGAGAATTTGATATCAAGCGGAGAGAGCGAGTCGTTTCTCCAGAAGGCAATTCAAGAACAAGGAAGGGGACAAATTATGGACACCATATCAGAAATTCAAGAAAGACATGATGCTGTGAAGGAAATAGAGAAGAACTTGATTGAGCTACACCAAATTTTCCTAGACATGGCTGCACTAGTGGAAGCACAAGGACAACAATTGAATGATATAGAGAGTCATGTGGCACATGCAAGTTCATTTGTTAGAAGAGGTACTGATCAACTCCAAGAGGCTAGAGAGTTACAAAAAAGCTCAAGAAAATGTACTTGCATTGCCATTCTCCTTATCATTCTGCTTATTGTTGTCCTTACTTTTCCACTTTGGTCGCCTTTAATTACTAGCCGATTGTAGAAATGATATTTAACAACAAAAGAAAAGACCCTTTTGGAAATATTCATTGTCAGAATATTTTCTTTTCTTTATTCATTGTTTGTGTGACAATACTTATAGAAGTAACTTCTGTCATATTAATGGCTTGTTTCATTATGTACATACATGTCGTAATCCTTATATTAATCTTTGTAATCAATGTGCCGCGAGAGAGCAAATGGTGCGATATGTTTGAATGTGAATAGTGATGTACGCAGAATTTTGTACATGCAGTTATTAAAATTTGAACGAGCAAAAATACAATGAATTAAATAATAAAAATCTAAAAAGTGAACCCTATCATATTTAAATTTTGAATCCCCTCCACTTTTTGAGTGTAGTATTTTGCATACCCCATTGAACCTGAACTTTTTAAGTGACAATGAATTATTCCTTCATGTTTGAAGGACGAAGGTAGGTACAAAATCGTCTCTTAAATATAGTTCTAAGTAGTTTTGGTCCTTCAAGCTTTTTAAAACTGTACACTTTTAGTCAATATCAAATATAAAACAAACTTTGGTTTTTAGATTTAACGAGAACTGTGAAAAACAAAAGGATTTAATATGGATTCAAATTTAAAGGTGCAATTTTTGCCATTTTTGGTCTATTTCTGGAGAGTGGTACAAAAATTTGAGGTGCAATTTTTTCTCTTTTTTTTTTTTTTAAAAAAATTTATTTCTAGTGTTTGATAAAGTATTTGGTAATGCGATTTCTAGGATTTGAGAGGACTTTCCTAGTATTTCTAGTTAATCATTTTTTCATAGTTCTCATTAAATCTCACCATTAGAATTTATTAAAGATATGACAGATATTAAAATAACTCACTCTTGACAAACTTAGAGGCAAAATTACTCAAGGGTATATTTAAAGGACTACTTTGAACTTATCGCCGAGATAAGGCACCATTTAGTCATTTTTTCTACGTACCCATGTGGCCTATACTATGAGAAAATGTTTAAATATACCATTCGTTATACTTTGGATCCAAATATAACTTTGCCGTAATATTTTTGGTTCAATACCCCTCTTCTGTTAAGTTTGTCCAAAGTGGACATCCAATCCTATATGACATTGATATCTTATGAGGTGGATGTCACGTGACATGCCACCTCAGCGCCCCCTAATCCATATATAAAAGACTAAAATTTGAAATATAATATTTTTCATAGTAGCGATAATGGTGGCAATACTGATGGAGAAGAAGAAAATTTTAGTGGTGGAAAAAAAATAGAAGGGAAGGGTAAAATGAGTTAGGGGCGTTGAGGTGTCAAGCCATGTGGCATCCACCTCAGCAAATGTCAGTGCCACGTAGGATTAGATGTTTGGACAAATTTGACGGAAAAGAGATATATTTGAACTAATAATATAACTATAAAGGTATATTTGGACTCAAAGTATAACGAGGGGTATATTTAAACCGTTTGTAATACTATGTAGGTATATTATGCCCTTTTCCCTTTTTTCTGATAAAAGCACCAACAAATGTTGGAGAAGCGCCAACTTCTTTCGATAAAACGACTCAAACTGCTGATTCTTCCTCTGTCATGTTCTTGAAACTATTTATCCAACGCCATTACAGCTCTGTTACTTCCCTCACAAATCCTCCTTCCAAAGAATCCGAAATAATCCAACTTTGCAGGTCAGGTTTGCTATCCCAAGCTCTAAACCTTCTCAGCACCATAAACAAAATCTCCTCAAAACCAATATTATACGCCACATTAATACAAGCATGTACAAAAGCTCATTCATTCAATCACGGGCTTCAATTCCATGCCCACGTCATCAAAACGGGCATCGAAAATGACCGTTTTGTCGGGAACAGCTTGCTTGCTTTGTATTTCAAATTGGGTCCCACTTTTTCGGAGACTCGTAGGTTCTTTGATGGCATGTTGTACAAGGATGTTGTTGCTTGGTCTTCGATGATAACTGGGTATGTTCAATTAGGAAAGCCCAATGTTTCATTGAAGTTGTATGGGGAAATGATCGGTTTGGGTTTTGAGCCAAATGGGTTCACTTTATCTGCTGTGATTAAAGCTTGTTCTGAAATTGGGATTTTGAAATTGGGCCGTGGGTTTCATGGTGTTGTGATTACCCGTGGATTTTATGAGAATAATGTGATTGTGAGTGCGTTGATTGATATGTATGGTAAGAGTTATTGTTCTGTTGATGCAGTTAAACTGTTTGAGGAATTGCCTGAACCAGATGCTGTTTGTTGGACTTCGGTTATTTCGGGTCTTACGAGGTGTGAATTGCATGAGGAGGCTTTGAGGTTGTTTTATTTAATGCATAGGAAGAATGGGTTGTCACCGGATTTGTTTATGTTTGGGAGTGTTTTGACTGCATTGGGTAATTCGGGTAGGTCGAGGCAAGGTAGAGAAGTTCATGCTAAGATTGTGACAAGTGGACTTTGTGGGAATGTTGTTGTTGATAGTAGTTTAGTTGATATGTATGCAAAATGTGGGCTGGTTGATGAGTCTCAGCGTGTTTTTGACCAAATGGCTAAGAGGAATTTTGTGTCATGGTGTGCGTTGATGGGCGGATACTGTCAAAAGGGTGACTTTGACGCTGTAATTGAGCTTTTTAGGATGATGGGGGAAGTTGATCTTTATAGCTTTGGAACTGTTCTTCGTGCTTGTGCAGGGTTGGTAGCTTTGAAGTCGGGGAAGGAAGTTCACTGCCAGTATTTGAGGAGAGGTGGCGGGAGCGATGTTATTGTGGAATCAGCTCTTGTTGATCTCTATGCAAAATGTGGCTTTGATAATTATGCCTATGTCATTTTTTGCCAAATGAAGGTTAGGAATTCGGTTACTTGGAACTCAATGATATCTGGATTTGCTCAGAATGGGAAAGGTGCGGAAGCCATTGCAGTATTCGAGGAGATGATTAGTGAAGGGGTCAAACCAGATTATATCAGCTTTATCGGGGTTCTTTTTGCTTGCAGTCACAGTGGTATGGTTGACGAAGGGCGAAAATATTTTCTCTCAATGATTAATGAGTATGGTATCAAACCTCATATTGAGCATTTTAGTTGCATGGTTGATCTTCTAGGTCGGGTTGGAGAGGTAGAAGAAGCTGAAAGTTTGATTCTTGGTGCAGAATTCAGAAATGATTCTTCCCTTTGGGCTACCTTACTTGGTGCTTGTACTAGTAGTACAAATCCTACTGTTGCAGAGCGTATTGCAAAGAAAATGATGGAATTAAATCCTGATTATCATTTGAGTTATGTTCTTCTAGCAAATGTGTACAGAGCAGTAGGTCGGTGGGCTGATGCTCTTGAGATTCGGCGGCAGATGCAAGAAAAAAGAGTGAATAAGATAACCGGGAAGAGCTGGATTTAAAACGAATACTAACAGCTTATGGCCTTTTCAGTGAAGAACTCTATCAGGTTGCCCCTACAAAGACTTTCCTGAAAGCGCTCAAGATGATATCACGGATACATGATAGCACATTTATCAATTTTACTCCTTTCAGGATGACCCTTGTTACAAACTGCAACTTGTAGTCCTCGCTTATATGTATTCCTTGGACTGGGGTAAGCATGCAGTATGAAGACCAATTGTCAGAGTATCCAGCATAAGCATTATAGACGTGTATAGCGGACACGTCACTGGATATAGAGATTTATCAACCCATAATATTGATAGCCTTAAGGTTTCCTAATAGTTCAAAATGTAGGACCTGACACATCTTGATCTGAGTCTTTTAGGAAAGGAAGAGTTACTAGTGACACAAGCCTTTCGATAACACGAGTGACCAAAATCGCGAGAATGCTTTCAGCTATGTGCAACATTGTAGAAATAGAATTGTCGAATTCTTTGAGATTATTTATAAACATTGACAGCAGAAAAAAAAAGCTGATTTTTTCAAAGCTTTCTTCCCTTTTTATTCCGCTGGTTTCAGGATGAGAGATTTAGTTGAACTTATCCTGTTACATCTTGAAATTGTATTGTCAATCACTATGAAATTTATCAGAGTTTCAAAGCTGATACTTTTATTAGGTTGCATCTCTTCTTTCCCCATATTAACTGAAAATGAATTTATACAAGACCAAACTATAATGGGCACCCTGTTCTTGAAGGATAAAAAGAGCAAACTGCAGCTTGTTGAAAAGTGCTACTAACTAATTATTACCAGGTGCTGATTTAAATGGAATCTATAGATCCCGTTTAGCTACTTTTTTTCAAAAACAAATTGAAAACATTGTTTGTTTTCTGAAAAACTGGTTTATGGCAGTTTTTGGATGAAAAATGTTCTTTCACTCATAAAACTTCAACTCTTTTTCTAAATAAAATGCATGCCCAAATACAACTTCAACTTCCAAAAATTATTTTTCAACACAACTTTAAAAATTCTTTTTCAAGTTTCAATAAAATCTATGCCCAAATGCTTAAATCTATGCCCAAATGCTTGTGGGGGAGGGGGGGAGGGGGGGGAAAGATGTTGTAATTTGCACAACAGCTCAGAAGCCCTCTCCCATTATCATTTTCAACTTTCTCAGTTTTGCAAGAACTATAAATTCATAACAGCTTTACAGGACAGCATATAATAAAAACCAAAACAGCAGAATATGCCAACATAACCACAACTCTGAACATACAACATTAACACTTGAGTTGGTGGGGTGCGCTAGGCCCAAGCAATAGTGCAAGACCAGGGCTACGCATGAAGGCCCAAGCAGCAAGCTACCTTGATGAGCCTTCCCCCTAAAAAATTGAGTTAATATCGTGTGAGCCAATGACCCACATATCAGATATTAAACTGATAAGAACAGATACTACACTTGATCTTAGCCAAAAGGCCGAGAAAGGTATGATTTACTTGGTGCACGGGCCTCTTCATTTATACTGCCTTTCAACTCTTTTTTTTCCATTTTCTATCGATGTGGGATGACAAACCTTATTATATAGGAACTCCTTTGCTTTATTTGAAGGATACCAAAGGGCAAACTACAGCTTGTTGAAAAGTGCAGATATAACTTCTTATTATTAGGTGCTGATGTAAATAGAAGAGAAAAAACCCAAAACAGTCCATTATCTTTGAAAGTAGACTTAAAATAATCCCTTGTATATTATATGGAGCACATTCAGCACTCCGCAAGCTTCCATTGAGGAACCGGAGAACTTAGTACACTGAAACAGATTTAGAATTTAAGTTTTATGGGTTCAACCTTTAAGATTTTTAGCATTGAACCCATTGTATTTTTGAAGTTAAGGGTTCATATTGCTATTTATTGCAATATTAGTGAATTATTACACATAAATTTATGTTCCGCGTCAAAAGTACTTAATTTAGTTGAACCGGCGCCGATACATTACATCGTCCTCTAAGTACACTTGATGAAGGGATTGATAAAATTGCCAGGAACTTTTGGAATGCTATCTTCTATCTTGCTTAGTTTATCAATGATTCTCAAACTTGAGAAGAAGCCTTCCCTTGGGTACCGAAATCACATAACCATGCATAGAAGCATCCGGGAACTGGTAAAGTACATAATTGTAACGACCCGACCGGTCGTTTTAAGCATCTGCACTTTGCTTGCCAGTTCCCGGGCATGACTAGCCCCGTATGATGTATTATGGCTTATGTAAATCGTCGATTTTGGTTTTCAGGGTAATCGGATCAGATATGAAAGAATGATTCCCAACTTAAAGCTTTAATTTGAAATGTTTGACCAAGTTTTGACCTTTTAATATTCGATCTCGGATTTGGATTTCTATGAGTTGGTTAGCTCCGTTAGGTAATTTTGGACTTGGGAGCACGTCCGGAATGTGATTTGGAGGTGCGTGATGGATCTAGGCTTAAATTGGCGAAAGTTAGAAACTTGGCGATTTCGGCTGGCAGTGGAAAGTTTGATATCGAGATCGAAATAGAATTCCGGAAGTTGGATTAGGTTCCTAGTGTCATTTTGTGACGTGTGTGTAATATTTCAGGTCATTCGGAGGTGATTTGGTAGGTTTCGGCGTCATTTGTGGAATTTGAAAGTTGAGAAGTTCTTAGGCTTGAATTAGAGGGTAATTTGGTGTTTCGATGTTGTTTTGGGTGATTCGAAGGTTCGACTTAATTCGGATGATATTATGGGATATGTTGGTATAGTTGGTTGAGGTCCCGAGGGCCTCGGGTGTGTTTCGGATAATTAGCGGGTGAGTTTAGTTGTTGAAAGAGCTGTTGATGTTGCTGGTGTCGGGTTTTTGAAGTTGGGGAGCGCTGACCGCGCAGAATTTATGCGGATAGCGGAAGGATTTCGCGGAGGCGGCAGGATTCTGCGGTCAGCAATGGAGGCTGGTGCGGACAGCGGAAAAATTGGTCGCGACCGCAGGAGCTGGAGGGGTGCACTATAAATACGAGGTTCGGAGTTTTATTTCATATTTTGACCTAAAGGACTCGAATCTTGGTGATTTTTCGAAGGTTTTTCAAGAAATTCATCGGGGTAAGTGATTCTAACTCGGAATTTGGCTAAAATACACGAATATATCATTGGATTTATCATTTGATTACTGAATTGGGATGAAACAATGGGGAAAATTGTAGAAACTTCATAAAATGGATTTTTGAGTTTTAAATGTCAATTCGAAGTCGGATTGAGTAAAACTAGTATGGTTAGTCTCGTAATCGAATGCGTTGTCGGATTTTGTGACTTTGGTCAGATTTTGAGACGTGGGCCCGGGGACCCTGGCTTGAGCCAATTTCGGGTTTGGGGTCTAAATTGATAGTTTTCTTGTGAAATTCATTCCTCTAGCATAAATTGGTGGTATTGTACTGATTGTGAATAAATTCGGAGTATTTGGAGGATGTGTCGAGAGACAATAGCATCGCGAAATAAAGATTTGATCTGTTTGAGGTAAGAGCTGGATTTAAACGAATACTAACAGCTTATAGCCTTTTCAGTGAAAAGAACTACCGGGATGCCCATACGAAGAAACATCCCTGAAAGTGCTCAATATGATAATACAGATACATAGCACAGTTGTCATGTATTCTTCGATTACATGACAGCTTGTTGTCTGAGTATCCAGCATTATAAACACGTGCACGGGTCCTGGCACATGATATAGAAACTTCTCAACCCATAATTTGATTGCCTTGGGGTTTTCTAACAGGAAAGGAGATTTACTAATGACACAAGTGTTGGGTTTTGTTATTAATAACAAAAGAGGTGTAAGTGAAAAATGGTGGAAAAAGAAATGGAGGGAAGTGAAATTTTGAATTAGTTCACTTTACTAATGCACTTTGTCCCTTTATTGGTATAAGGAAAAGAAAATCTTTGTGTATATATAGAGAAGCTCATCTTTTAGCTCTTAAAGATTTAAGAAGAAGACAAGCCTCGCGCCGTCGTCGTCACTCGGCTTTGGCTTCGTGTTACGACCCGAATTTTCCACCCTCGGGAGTCGTGATGGCGCCTACTAATGTGAGCTAGGCAAGCCAAATCTTTAATCTAATTATTTCATTGACCAATTATTTTTGTTTAACAAATATAAGACGATAACGTGGTAACAGCGGAAAAATATTCAAATTTAAGCGGAAGACAACAATATGATTTATGAAAACTGCATCTATTACAAATACTTAAGCTTTAACCACCCAAAACTTGGTGTCACAGTGTCACAGACGGTCTAAGATTTGCTATATACAAAGTCTGAAGAAATAACAGTACACTGTTTCTGAATAAAAGGAAAATAAAACAGGAAATAGGGATAGAGGGAGACGCCAGGGCCTGCGGACGCCTGCAGGTCTACCTTGGATCTTCATGTGGACTGAAGGTAGCCTCCAACTACGGTCTAAGAGCTGCTCCGGGATATGCACATAGTGCAGAGTGTAGTATCAGCACAACCGACCTCATGTGCTGGTAAGTGTCTAGCCTAACCTCGGTGAAGTAGTGACGAAGCTAGGACCAGACTACCAAATAAACTTGTGCAGTTCAAATATATATACAGGGGAAAAGAAATACAGAAATAAACAAATAAAGATGGGAGGGGGAAACATGCTTCGGGGAATAACAGGTAAAACAGAATATTAAGAGAATTATAAAGGAATCAAAATCAACCACTAACAAGAGTAAGGAAAACAAAGGCAGATTTCACTTTCTTTTCACATCTTGTTGCAGGCGTGCAACCCGATCCCATTTCATGTATCTCGTGGCAGGCGTGCCACCCGCTCCTGTAAGCACGTGATTTTTGCCCTATATGAGAATTACTCCCAAAAAATTCAAAATAAAATGATTTTCCTTGGTGTGCAATTTTGAGAATTTTTGTGACATTTTTGGATAATTATTTGTATTTGTCTGTGCATGTTTATTTTGTTAAATTAATAAAAAAATAGTGAAAATATGTCGCATTTGCATTTAGGATTTAATCCTACAATTGTTAGTAATTAAGTTTGTTTTA